TCCTTAAAAAAATACACAAATGTAAAATACTGCGTTTTCTATTATATCCCCACTTGCTTTCCAAGTATGCCATTTGGATGTCAGACTAAATCAAAAGGTAGAACACCTTTTAATTCTCTAGCAACACTGTATGCTATCTTTCTACTCTGATTAATTTGTTGTATTTCTATAATTTTAATCAGTGTGAACTTCGGTAGAACAGTTGGGGACTAATGTATTAGCTGTCAGGGAAGTCCCACTTAATATTTGCTCATGAATACCACTGCTTTGGTAGCAATGCTGACTTGGGACCTGATCCCACTGGATGCTAAGCACCATTTCATTTTGTATTTTTCTCAGCAGAAGTAGAAATGCTCAGAGTTAGCCTCTAGGATTACACCACCCTGGCCAAACTCAGCAGTGCATAAAATAGGTACAGGTTCACAAATAACACCCAAACTACATCCTGCGTTAATCATTCATGCCCTGATCTTGCAGACACCTGCACACATTCCTCCTGTGAGTAGTCCTGTTGACCGAAATAGGTCTACTCACAGCAGAATTAGGTGTATGTGTTTTTGTTTGCAGGGCTGAGGTCTTCTATTGCACCGGTAGAGGTACGCTTCACGGAGAAGGGCTTGTGCACACTTCTCTTGCTGGGGATTGAAAGATAATGTTGTGTTTATACAGCTTTGGAATACAGCCTGCACTTTTTGGAAAAAAAATAAGGAAAAGAAAGATACAAAAAGGAGAAGGAAACCCAAGAGTGCTAAGGCAAACTGTCAAATGGCACATCATACCTACTTTGTCATTCATTTAGATAACATCACAAAGGCAGACCAGAGGAGTTCTGTAAACATATACCATACAGTACATCAGCCACGGGAAATTAAAAAAAGAAAACAACCCTGTAATTCTTTTCTTTCTGTATTGATATACTTGTAATTGAAAGAGATTGCCTAGCCACTAATCATAATGCTGTGTTTTTTTGATTTGTATTTTTCTTCTGTAAAAAAAAAAAAAGTATGGAAGTAAAATGCAGTGGTTTGCAAAAGAAACAGTCCCTGAATGCAAACGAGGGACAACATGGAAAGTGGGTTCATAGAAACTTAGAAAATACAAAATATAAAAAAGTTTCATAGGTTACTTTTTCCCAGTCTAGGAAAAGATACACTGAAAAGAGGTCTTTTTTTTTTGTTTTTCTTACAAAAGTTAAGGCGAGCAGTTTGTTGTGGCAAAATGCTTTCACTGAACCAGTTTCTGACTCTACTTTTTTGTATCCCCTCATGCTGAAAATGAAAATGTACATGTGATGGTATAAGTTAAACAGATAGGGAGTTTGCTTCAAACAATGAAAAAAAAAACCCTCCCATGATGATCCTTACAAAAATGTCTCTCTGCTTGACCGTCGAGCAGACCTCTTCCTTCGCGTCTGATTGTGCATGGATTTCCACTGGCAGCTTCCTATGTGGGGGCAAAGGGAACAACCCGACCCCTTTGAAGCCCAAAGCAGCCCAGGAAAACCAGTTTACATTCACCAGCCGAGGCCAACGCGTTTGACTTCCCATGTTCCTTGGCTGCAGGCTAATGGCTAGAAGGGACACGTCAATGCCCAAGCACGGCTGCTGCCCTGGTGGAGGAGGATGATTGGGGTAAATGTGTTTCAGCCAACATAGCTAAAGCCTTCTGAGTTCAGACAGACTTGCTCCTGTTTCATGTTTTTCCTGACCTCAGACATGGAACTGCCTTTGACCCGTAAAGACAAACCCTATGCAGACAAACCTTCAGCTTTTCTGGATCTTCTAGGGCCCATTAACCATGGAGTTCGTATGAACACATAAAAAACACTGGCCTTCCTAGGCACTCAATGTTAGCTACAAGTACTGAGCAGTAGGTATTTGGCAGGTTTAAGGTTTAAGGCTTGTGCTCTACTTCTAACCACTAAAGGGCCACTTCTGGACTCTTGTGTGCCACCATCTCCCCGCCACATTGTGCCTCAGATGGTGCTGTGGTCTCAGACATGTTCTGGTCCCAGCCTCAGCAAGCATCTCCCAAAGCTGGCCGCTGAGGGAGTCATCCCCAAAATGCCGAGTCTGTACTGAACCAGAAGGACATCTGACAAGGGAGCACGTGGCTGAAGAGATGCGTGGACAGAATGGGTTAGGGTAAAGACAACACCCCAAATTTCCCGAGAAGAGGGCTTTGGGAAAAAAAAATGTCCATAGGGGAGAGGAGCGGCAAGGGAACAAAGATTGGGCTGGGAAGACACCGGAGACCAGGGTGGCCACGAAGGTGGCATCACCCTTGGACAGGAAAGGGGTGGTGAGCAACGAGACGACCGGCAAGGCCAGGAGGAGATGGCTGGAAGATTTGTTTTGGAGCGTTAGTAGTGTGGTGAACAGGCCCCAGAGTGAGAGAACTATTGCAAAGCACGCCCGGGTCCCACAGCACTCACAGGGTAGGGGTGAAACGGAAAGGGCTTCACCCCTTGCATTGCAGTGCTTTGGGGTCCTAAACGTGCCTGGGGACAGCCTCGCCAGGCCACCCTGGGGTTGAAAACTCAGGGTCTCATTTTAAGAGATGTCGAGATTTGTAAATGCTTAGCATTTCTGGGAAAAAAGAAAAAAAAACAACACATAACCCAACCGAAAAAAAAACCCAAAACACAGGTTGCTAGTTTCCAACAAACAGCCACCAGACCTATTGTCGCAACGCAGGGCTCTGCGGCTGTTGCCCTCTTTGATAAAACTGAACCACCTAAGCCTGAGTCAAGGGATGATGTGCAGAGCTTCTGTGGGTGAGTTTGGTCCTTCTCCCATCCTAAAACCCCCTTGGGGAGGCGAAGGGAGTGTGTGGAACTCTACTGAATCTGGCCACTGCAGCAGATATGGAGGCCAGCAAAATTTCCGCAGGTGTCATTCCGATGTGGCTGTCTTTTCCTACTCTCCGCTTGCTTTCTTGCCTGACTGTCACCTGGGCAGTGGTGAGAAGTTACATTGACCAGCTCCATACTGACAGCTGAGTGACCTAATGCAGGAACTCTCTTTTGCATTTTTTGTGTGTGTGTGTGTGTGTGTGTTTTCAGTGTGCCTCGTATCACCACCGCCACGAACAAGTGTCTTTTTTTTTTTACTGGCACAGAAAGAAAAGAGTACAGAGCAAGAACTCTGTTTAATCAGATGCTCTGAACTAACAATTAATGCAGTAAAAGCACCATCCAAGAAAGAACAGAAATATCATAGGAACCACCTCAGACTGAAAAGAGGCTTTTTGTTGTTTTCTTTCTTTCTTTTTTTTTTTACTTTTTTTTTTTTTTTAATTTTGTTTTTCAGTTGCTGTTACTGATTTTTAAAGTCTGATAGTTTTAAAGACACTTCAAAATAATCTTCAGTACTTTTTAACACTATCAGAAAACAGACATCCTGATTTTTAATCTCACTTTGGTAGTTATAAACCCAGACTAACTCCACTAGAGTGAGTGAAGATACACTTAAGCAAAACCGGTGTGAGACAAGAATCAGGCTTATAATACCTCACCATGAAAAAGCTGGCTGCTTTTTCATTGTAGTTAGAAGAATCGAAGGACCAAGAAACAAAGAAACATCTACTGACTTTGGATGCCTTTACCTTTTTACATTTTCAGCTTGAGTTGTTTTTAACAGGTCTGGTTTTCAGAACACAGATGAAGAAAAATTTCCTGGAAATCAGGCCTCTTTGAAGCATCCCACACCCAAAAATGAAGCATCCAAAACCACCAGCAGTTTTTGAAAATGTTAGCCTTGCGGCTGTAGGATCTTCTCCTGAAACAGCTGCTCCAACAAAACTCTGGTGGGGAGTTTTACCTGGGTAAGCAGGGCAGGATCAGACCCATCACCTGTCATTTTGTAGGTGCACTGGAGGTACACGCTGTGAGAAATTACACTTCTCTAAGAATTACAGAATTAAACTCTGGCCCTGCCCCCATTCCCAGCACTGAGAATTTCGTCACTGAATCCAGCAGGAACAGGGTCAGACTGTGAGAGAAGTTCATTTATATTCTAAGGAAATAGAGAGCAATATCTCTCATCTACTGGAGTTCAGCAGGAAAACTTCATGTATAAACATTGGCAGAGTTACTGAAAGGCAAGTAATTAGATCAGTGACTCCATTTCAGTTGGTGTGACAGCTGCATCTTTTTCATGTCAAGTTAATTTCAATTGTAATTTGGGGAGATGAAGTATACATACAATACTGTAATCTGGAAGATTTATATAAGGCAAAATCATCATTCATACATTTTCTAGAAAGAATAATTAAGGTCCACTTTTGGTACCACCAATAAGCAGAAATGGCTAATGGGTTTTTCTGACACCGCAAACTAAACTGGAAAGTTGCTATAAAACAAAACTATGTGAACTTTTTGGGAAAGACTTGTCTGAGTTTTAGGAAATTAAAACAGGAAAATGATCTAAGCCTTCTCTCAAGAAATGAAAAATAGGATCTATAAAATAATGTTTAAATGTTTTTTTTCTTAAAAAAGAGAAGCAACATTTTTTTAAGGCTCTCATATCTGTCTGCTGTGAAACTCAGACTCCCACAAAATGCTAGGAATCTGATCAAGCCTGCCAGATATCCAAAGAAAAAATGTAAAAAGTGTTTTCATTATATATATTATATATATATATAAAAATCAAATAAATATGAAAACATTTGTTCCATTTCCCATTTATCTCTCACTCTGCAATATTAAGGAAAAAAAAAACCCCAACAGAAAAAAAGAAGCAAAAAACCCCCCAACCCCTCCCCAAACCCCAAATAGTACGTCTGATGGGAAAATAACCATGCGTTCCTCTTCCTGAAGAACTAGAAAGCAAAGCAACCCAACTGCAAGGCAATGGAGGCATTCACTTCCAGTTCACAGTATTGCAGTTAGAAGTACAGTGAGGTCTAGGTAAGTGGTGGAGCAGGAGCTGCCCGGAGCGGGGAAGGAGGAGATGTTCACATGACAATACAGCATTGACAGCGCTTTTTCTTTTGTGTACCTGGGGCAGCTTCCAAGGGCAGGCTCTCTTCCTTCCCCTCGGGAGAGGAGGGCTCTGTCGTGTCCGACAGGGGCCTGCCAGAGACCAGCTCAGCGGCATTCCCATCCATGGTGGAGACGTCCGTCACCGTCTTCTCCCGCAACGACTTCTCGTCGTCTTCATCGATGAGGACCAGCTCTGCCTTGATGGTCTCGTCATAGCCCAGCACTTTCTTCGTCTCCTCTTCATCATCGATGTTCTGGTAGCCCATAAATATCATTGTTACTGGCTGATCTGCGCTGGCCTCCAGGGCTTCGCCACCACAGGGTTTGTCTTGGGGCTGAGGGATCACAGCATGCCCTTTACTGGGTTTGTGTACCATTTCCAGCTTTGCCTCCTTGAAGAGCATTTGCTCCTTCATATGGCTAAGGTTTCCATCGGCTACCGCATTTCTCTCTGACACAGTCATTGTTTCATACCCTCCTTTTACACTTGATTGTCCAGCTTTTTGCATAAGTTCATCTACGTCCTTTGAGCTTAATTTATGTACTCCATTTTCTACTACTGTGCCACCAGAGTGAACCTCATAGACTACCTTGGTACCATCATCATAGACTTTGAATCCTCTTTGATGGGCCTCATCTGGGCCAATAGGTGAAGCAGAGACAATCTTGGTCTCTCCTGTCTGTTTGTCTTTCTCCACATTTATTTCCATGGTGCACAAAGCTTGAATGAAAACAAGAGAGGAAGTGCATGTTACAACAAAAAAAGCCAGTGAATGGTTAATTGCCAAACAGACAAAGAAAACTACTGTGCCCCTTTTCCTACCTCCTGCTTCTACAGGGCCAAGTGCTCTATGTTAAGAGGTGGGACACAACGCTGTGGACAGAGATAGTTATTACACTACGGTTTTTTATGCTGCTGGAGGCTGGGCAAACCTGTGAAAACAGGACCTAGCCTTCCAGCTCACGCTGCGTGGAGCTGTCTCTGATCAATTAGGAGCACCAAGAGGACTTGGGTTAGGTGTAATTTAGACAAAGGGAAGTGACAGCATGCAGGTTGCCCTCAACCTTTCCATTCTGAACTTGCCTCAAAAATGCAGAGAGAAACTCATCTCTAGGAAATCTCCTTACTCTCTTTTCCTTCTCTGCCACCAAATTGCCAGTTATCTGGCAACAAGTTTTGTTTGCTGCATGTAACACCCAGACTGTTTTATTATCAACGCTTGTTCTTGCTTAACTCTTCCATCCGTAGCATTCAAAACATTTTAGAGAGGTGAAGAAACATTGTTTACCCCTGTTCTATAGATGGGAGAACAAAATCACACAGGAATGGGTTAATTTCTCCTGCAGATGTGTGGCAGGGCAGATGTCTCGGCTTCCACACCAAGGCATTGACAGTGACCTCTGCTTGCAGGTTAAGAGAATGTATAAAATGCCAAGAAGTGCTCCCTCGTTTATTTTAAGCACCGTTGCCAAAGTTGAAGAAAATAGTAATAATGAACTGATTTTCAAAGTGTCATGAAACAACAGGTAAAAACATGCGTGTAAGGGATGCTGCTTTAAAATAGCAAAGAAGCTTTTCTAGCAGTTAAGAAGGACGCGGTAACAAGATGAAAATTGTAGAGACCACACAGTAGGAATAGACAGGCAGTCAACACCCCTCTAGCACCCAGTTTGAGATAGGATGGCATCTCACTAGACAGCTTTTCAAAGAAAACTGTGCAAAGTCATCATCTGTTTAAGCATTCCTTGTATGCAGATGAAGACATTTTGGCTCCTGGACAGACATCCACAGACACTTATTTATGAATGACCACAGGCAGTGACGTGTTCGTGAAACTTATGGCGACCATTTCCACCGATGAACCTCAGTGGTATAACTGTGATTTGTCTTACCTGAGCACACCACAAACTGATGTGTTGGCTTTTTTTCCCTGACTTATTTTCAAGTGAGTAAAGAATATCCTTGCCCCAAACCCCAACATAGCTTTGTATGCTTGTATTTAAAAAAATCACGAACATAAAAAAGTTATTCTTGCTTTGATATATTCCCTCAGTCTTATTATTTACACACAGTAGGATTTTTTTTTCTGTATTTTTAAAGCAAAAGATTTCATTATTAACAGGAAGTTTATCATGACGTGCATCACGACGTTCACTGTCGCTCTGGACAGAAAATCTATGTATTGCTGAGTGGGTGCATGCTGGCCCCTGCAAGGCCACCTCCTCTGGCCCTGGGAGAGCAGGCTGCTAGGCAGCCCAGACAAATGGGGAACTGGCTGTCTATATGCTTTGTGTGTCTGCTCAGACCTTGGTCATCCCTGGAAGGGCTGTTTAGGTCAAGTGCAATGCCAGACAAACACTGGAGGATGGAGGTGCTGGTGGGTGAGGGAGTAGTGCTGCCTCTGAGTGTGAAGGGTTGCCGGAGGCTGGAGTGGCCTGCAAGAGCAAGGGTCTCACCTCACCTATTGCAAGCTAGGGGAATATCCTTAAGGACTGTGTTGTTTTACTACAGTAAAAGAGGTTTATGGACTAGCTGTGTCCACAGCTGTCACCACCCTGAGCACAGGATGCCCATTTTCACCAGGAAAAAGGGATATCAGCTTTCTGATCTCCCTCCCTGAGCCAGGAGGATGCTGCAGTGGGGAGAGCTGGGCTCTGCTCCATGGTGTGCTGCAGGAGGCCGAGGGGCAGCTGATTTATGCTGAAACAGGGGAGATTTAGGCTGGAAATAAGGAAAGACACTGTTGCCCCAAGGCCAGTAGCAGTAAAGCCCTGGAGCAGGTTGCTCCGAGGAGCTGTGGAAAACTGCATGGTGGTCCAGCCCAGAAAGCATGGACTTACTGGGGACTGTCCCAGCCCAGGAGCTGATGGGCAACTGTCCTTCAAGTCTCATGCAAGTAACTCTGCCCTGAAGCCTTTAATCTAACTTATAGGGGTAATGAAGCAAAAAGACACAGGTGCCACCATTAACACCCTGGAAATGACTCCCTTCTAGGTGCAGTTTCTTGAGCAGGGATGAGGGGAGTGGGAAAAGAAGAGGCATTTTGTTTATTAGCTTGTCCCCTGGGCCTTGGGTGAGTGGTCTCCGAACATCAGTTGACCTCTGCAGGACTGATCAGGCAGATATTACAGAGGTAAAAGTAGGGGTTGGCTAGCCCATGGTGCAGATGCTAAAACTGACACACTGGCAGGTTTTTGAGTGGTGGACAGCAGAACTGAAGCAAAGCTGAACTGCATGGGGAGCAACAGTACATCCAGAAAAATCACCTCTGATGGGCAGAACTTCCTGATTTGTCCTAAGCACCACAGCCCTGTAGAGAGGGCACTGCCAGCCCACTGCCGGGCTGCCTGCTACCTTCTTGGTGAGAAGCAGCATCCTGAGCTCTCCTGGGGCTCCTGTGCTTCTCCTCTTTGAAAAATAAAAATATTATCTGGGGGATGACTTTTCAATAAAGGCTGCTGATTTGTCCTGTGAAATAATTGAGTACCATGCTATTGCATATATTTTTAGTGCAGAAGAGGGTGCAATCTGCCAGACCCGCCCAGTTTTGATGAACAAATTTCGTTCATTCAGTAGTGTGCATTAAAAGAAGGCTTGTATTATGGGCCGGAATTCAGAAGCAGATGGGGAAAACCTGAAAGTTAAATCACCTAGACCTGGCCATATTTAAGAAGGGTTGCAATATACATCTTTTTATCTATGGTATGGAGTAGTGACAAGCAAAAACATCCTACTTGTTAGGAACGCTTTGGGCAACAAGTTCTACCACTGCTTGGAAGACCCTGTCCTACTGGCTGATCTGACCTAGAAAGTTAACAGGTGTGGTCTTTGTGGATTTTAATTTGGTTAATTTGCTTAAGCATTTGCCACTGTCAAAATTTCCTTTTAATTTCTTCTACTGTGATGTCAGCAGCAGTTTTTTTAAAATATTGACATAACATGCTGTTTATGACCTGCCCCAGGGATGACACTAAAGCTACTTGTGCAAGTAAATGCATAAATATATGTGATCTTCTTAAAAAGCTGTTCACTAGTGAAATGCATTGCCACAGGAGAAGTGAGTAGCAGAATCTGCCTTACCTACCTGTATGCACAATGTTCATTCTCTGCAGGAAAACCAAGCAGCCCTGCTTGTCAAAGCAGCTAAAAATTGAACTAATGTTGACTTCTAAAATGTCTTTATTTAACCAGAGCTTATTTACTGCAAAATGTGCTCTATCAACACAACGCAAAACTAACTGACAATAGAGCTGAAACTGAAAGCCGTACATGAAGATGACAGCCTGTATCCACAAGCACAAGTTTTCTGCACGAGCTTTAATTACAGCATAACATGATGCAGTGCTTCATGGCAGCAGACCAAAGGATCTGGCTTCTACCTCTTACATGGGCTCAGAGGCTGCTCACTAAAATAAAAAAGTCTTAATAGACTTTGAGCTTGTTTTATGATGGATGCTTAGAGTCTACCTTTGAGGACATATGCAGGTGCCTTGTCTTTAAGCTATTGCACACACATGACACTCTTATAAGGACTACATGAACAAGGCTTCTGGGTCATCTGAGGTATGAAAGAAATTGTTGCATTCTTGGTGTTGACAAAATGCCACAAAACACACAGAGGGAAAATCTTGCTTTTAAAACAGATCAGGGTAAGCACTGGTGGAAGTGAAGCTTTTGGAATGGCTTGCAACAGGACCTCTGAATAAAATGACATATCCTCTAGCTGTGCAGTGTCTTAGCTGCAGACATCTCTTTGCTGTGCCTGTTAACCCATTCTTCAAATAAGCCACCTTTCATTCACCTTTCATTCCCACTCCTTGGGACACCTTTTAAGTAGCCACCAGCAATTTGGTCTTAAGATAGGGAATACATTGTTTAGAAAAGAAGGGTCTTGAAAATAAGAAAAACATACAGCTTTTAACAATTATGTTGTCACATTTGAGACACATACTCAATCTGAAAAATAAGTGTTAGAAAATTCTCTATATGACTCCAAGCACAACACATATCGTAATTCTCCCCAAATTTTCCCCAAGAAGAAAGAATGATATATAAATAAGTATAAAATTACAATACAAGTTTGAAGCACGTATGGGGTCTTGTGAGTGCCTGTCTGACTCATTCATCTTAATGCAAGTTGCATAGGTTACAACGGAGGAGGCAAAACCTTGGCCTAAATACCATGTATTTGTATCAGCAGAGATGGAAAGAACTGAATGTTTCCACGTAAAAAAAATAATTGGACGCGTTTCCTATACTACTTTTATGTAGTTAAAACCACATTGTTTTGAGAGTGCTCACTGCTCCTCAAAAAGCCTTGACTTATTTACAAAATGCAAACCAAGTGGCATTTCCTGGCATTTAAATGATATGGGGACACCAGACCCATTAAGGTAATATAACAAAAAAAGTTCATGGCTACTGGACTGGTATTACAATACTTTGCTCCTTGAGACTTACCAGCTACTCTGCTTGCTCCGTCCCGCCCAGGAACTGGCTCTGCTGTTCGTGAATAGAGGGTTGGGAGTTCAGGGATCTGGGAGTAAATGTAATTTACTGCATCTGGTGTCAGAGAACAGGAAACAGTTAGATTCGTGCTACGAGCCCCAGTGGCTTCATTGCTTAGACAGCAGAGTGTTGTCAGCCCCGACAATAGTCACCGGAGCTTTGTACTAGATAATTGGATCAAAGCAAACAAAGTGCAAAGTCACTGTCGTGTGATTGGTGTTCAATAGACTAGCTGAGGCAGGAGGGAATGGGTCCAGATGACTCAACCCTTATGTCAGTTGAACACATAAAATTATTTGTCAGGAGGTTCTGGATTTATCAAGTCTGTGACCTTTAAAACGTGGGGGAGGGAGGGGGGAGGTAAGGAACAAACCTAACGTGATACCCAGAATACATGGTGTTTCAAACAGAGATATAAAAGCCTAAAAATGCAGGTGTTGGCTGAATGGGATGAAAGGCCAACTCTTTTGCACTGGTGGTTTCTGATACCAGTGAAGCAGCATTTGGCTTTTTGTTCTTAAAGCTGAAATTTGTTCTTAAATTTTGTTCTTAAAGCTAATAATGCAATCATGAATAGATACTGATAGGGTGTCTGATGTGACCTTCAGGAGGTATTAAGTGGCTGCCAGTTCTGCAGTGGCATCATTCATTAACAAACCCTGAACCAGTGCAAAGCTACCTTAAAGGACTTTCTTGTTTTACATTTGAGTTTATGGTTGTTTAGCATAAGCTAAATATGTTCTTTAGATGAGACATTAAAGAAATTTACAGATATTTACTGGGAGATGTTTTGTGGCTGGGTTAAGCAGAGCTAGATATTGTATGTTGTTCTGTTAGCATTCAGTGGCTGAGCTAAACACAAGAGCTCAGAGGAGAGATGTGAAAATAACGGATTTACAGTTCAGGCGCCAAACCGAAATGAAAAAAAATAATTAAAAAATCACATTCTTTCTTATCAACTGGAAATGTTTTCTGTTTTGTATGGAAACAGTTACATTCTGTTTAAACATAAGATCCTATCTGGTGTGAAACAGAGCATCGTTTTCCCTCTGAAGGTACTTTGCAGGTTATAATTTAAGTTGTTGAGGCCTTGGTATGGCCTGGTCCATGTGTCAGGGTAGGAGGCAGAATCTGCCTTCCTTCATGCCTCTTGTTACAAGTGGGTGAGATAGGAAGACCATAAAAGTGAACTGATGAAAGAAGAGAAAAACGAAGGGTCCTGTTGCAGGACTGCATCTGGTAAAGGGAGACACTTTCATCACGTTCCCTATGGGCTATTACCAATCCCAGAAAAAAACCCATGCTGCACCTGGTGGCATCCTCAGTGGAAACATGATATGTGCCACCTCTAATCCCAAAGTCTGCTCCTTTGGCAGGAAAACTGGTCCTGGTATTAGTGGAATGGTTTTACCACCTTCACAGCCTGCAGTGGCCACCAGTGCTGCTGGGTGTAGGAAGATAGTAACCACAGCCCCCAGGAAGACTCTCCATCCCTTCATGGAGCACTGTGGGTGACTCGGGTAAGGTGGTCCCCTTTCCCTCTTTCTGTGTCAGAGGAGAATAGCACAAAGGCATTGTGTAAATTCATTCCAGAAAGCCAGGAAATTAGTATATATATTCAGTTTGTAACAGATGAATTTGAAAAAAAACTCATCCAGGGAAATATTATTTTATTTCATACTTCAGTGGACAAATAGCAGTCTTGGCAAATGGGCTTTTATATTTTCAATGCATACTGTTTCCTCAAAGTTTTTTATTTTTAGCGGTAGAGCCCAGGAAAAATAATTGTTTAGGACACAGCTGACTGAGCAACAGCCAGTAACAGCTGCTTTCTTTTGCAGGGTTTCTTGCCTCTGATGAGAAATTGGTACAATGCTTGGCGTTGTTATTCTGGGAAATATCACCAGCAAATGAGCAGGCTATTATTGAAAACCAAAGTAATTTCTCAGAAGAAAGAAGTGGGGACTGTATTTCTGGGCCAGAATAAGAAGGCACTTTGTGTTCTGGAAATGGCAGAAATTTAGTCATTATTCACCCTGTACAGTGTAATGCTGGAACAGTAGTTTCAGTACACACTCATCCAGCAACTTGAGTGACAGACCTATCTGTCCACACATGGGTTTTATCAATGCAGACTTGTGCTGCTTAACAAATCATCCTTGCTTCTTTTGCAGTCCATGAGAATAAATAGACGTGGTGAGGGCAGAGTTCTCATCCCAGGGCACTGCAGGAAGCAAACTCTTTTGCAAGTGTTTGTTTTTCCCCAGTGCCTGTACAGGGAACTGAGCTGACCATCCTGGCAGCATCGCTGACGTAGAGCAGTGAGCAAGATGGTGAAACTCTCACTTTGATGCCGTACATGATGGTGGGCCTTAGTAAGTTGTGGGTTTTTTGCATCCTGCATTAGCAGAAAATATCTAGATAAATATTCATATTGTTAATATTGACTCAGTTTAGCAACTGCTCTGGATATTACTCTAGGATAAAATGTTAAAAAATTAGCTTCAGGGCTCCAGATAATCTCTCATTATTGAACTGAGAAGGGAATGCTGTGGTGGGGGTAGGTTTCTTGTGCATTTTCTTCTGAAACAAGTGGTGGTGCTATGTGTCAGAAATGGGGTATTGGTCTAGAAGTAGTTGGGGCTTGAATGATTGTGTCAGTTCCTGTCTCACTCCCCCCCAAACAGGACGAACATGTTCCTTTTCCTTTATCTCACTGGCAACAAGGTCTGTTTCATTTAACACCTTTAGAAAGGATGTAAGAAATCCATTTTGCAAGGAGTGTGTGAGATGCAAATTAGCATTTTGTTTGCATGAGAAGTAAGACAGAACATAAATTAAAGCATTTGAACTGACGGTATTCGGTATCTTAATTTCAACCTTTGATGAGTTATTAATATCTAAAGATGCCATAAAATATGCCTGTGGCTTTTTGTACTACTTACAACAAACTGCATTTTAGGACTTTGGCACTCTTCCATATTACCAGACAGACAAGTGCTTCAGAAAACATACGGAGCCAGATAATCCTTCAAGGGTGCTTGCACAAAACTAAAGCTTCAACTGAACCTTCAGAACTGCTCAGAATAGATCCCATGTAAAAGCTTGTGGCCAAATGTCAGACAAGCTCATTTTCCAAGGGCTGGATTATCTTTAAAAGGTCTGACTACCAGTAAAGTCAGTGCCTAAGGTCTTCTGCAAATACTGGCTGCCAGGGCAGGGCTGTTCCACCTGCAAAGCCCTCTGGGCTCTGGGGCTCCACAGGGCTATGTCAGAGGGAAAAGAGATTATGAACCTCCCACCAAGTTTGTAAGACCACAAACAGGAGTTTGAGCAGGAAGCTTTGCTAAAAGCTGAATAGCTTGACTTTGACTTAGTGAATCATTACTTAAACTATTGCACTTGGGGGTAGGGTCCACAGCTGACACCTGTATATCCACGAGCAACAAGGTGGATAAGCACACCTACCAGAGCCATAAGGAATGCTCCCCAACCCTTTCCAAAGGCAAGAACAGTAAATTCAGTCACCCCAAGTGTATGTGTACCAATGTATGTAATCTGGGCAACAAGCAGGAGGAACTAGAGCTCTGTGCAGTCTGAGAGATGTCATAGGAATTACAGAAACTTGGTGGGAAAACTCACGTGATGGAAAACCAAAATAACTCTTTCAGAGAGATAGGAAAGGAAGAAGAGGAGGTGGAGATACACTTTACATAAAAGAAAAATTTGAGTGTATAGAGGAGAACTCTGGAAACCATGCCAGTTCTGTTGAATGAATGCCTTTGGGTCAAGATTAGAAGGATCATCACTAAGGGGGATCTTATGTTAGGTACAGAATCATAGAATCATGGAATGGTTTGGGTTGGAAGGGACCTTAAAGATCATTGAGTTCCAATGCCCCTGCCACAGGCAAGGACACCTCCCACCAGACCAGTTTACTCAAAGCCCCATCCAGCCTGGCCTTGAACACTTCCAGGGATGGGGCAGCCACAGCTTCCCTGGGCAACCTGTTCCAGTGCCTCACCACCCTCACAGGAAAGAATTTTTTCCTTGTGTCTCACCTAAATCTCCCCTCTTTCAGTTTAAAACCATTGCCCCTCATCCTAATGCTTCACTCCCCGATAAAGAGTATCTCCCCATCTGTCCCCTAGGCCCCCTTCAGTTATTGGAAGTCTGTTATAAGGTCTCATTGGAGCCTCTCTTCTCCAGGCTGAACAACCCCAACTCTCTCAGCCTGTCCACATAGGAGAGGTGCTCCATCCCTCTGATCATCTTTGTGACCCTTCTCTGGGCCCACACCAACACGTCCATGTCCTTCTGGTGCTCAGGGCTCCAGAGCTGGATGCGGTACTTCAGGTGGGGCCTCACCAGAGCAGAGTAGAGGGGCAGAATCACCTCCCTCACCCTGCTGATCATGCTTCTTTTGATGCAGCCCAGGCAAGATACAGATTGGATGGGTGGTCTGTGAGATAATTAGAAAATTGGCTAACAAGCTGCTGTCAAAGGTTGGTGATCAATGGTTTTTACTCAGGTGGACAGAGGTGCTGTAATTGTGGCAGTCATAAATGCAGATCAAATAAAAAAAGTTCCTTAAAACCCTACAACTGAAAAACAATCTCTGTTTTTCAGAGTTTTTACAGGACATATGGAAAGCACTCTACAAAGATCTGTACTTGACTCCTCTGAGGACATGCTCATCTGTTTTGCCGTTGGGCTGCACAGCTGATAAAGATCAGAGCAGAGAAGAACCAGAAGGGTCTCTAAGTGGTGTGCTGGGAACTTAACAATGCAGACCAGTTTCCAGAGCCACAGCTTTACCAAACGTGTGCCAGTGCAAACCAAATTCAAACAGAGGTTTGTGCAAACTGTAGAGTTACTGTAATTGTGGCTTCTGTATGTTGTCTGAAGTATAGAGTCATAATAACCTCTAAATAACCTTATCTAGTCCAGTCCCTTGGCAATAAGCAGGACATCTTCAATTAGATAAGGTTGCTTAGAGCCCTGTCCAACCTGCACTTGCATGTTTCCAGCGATGGGGCATCTACCACCTCTCTGGGCAACTTGTTCACCAGTGTTTCACCACCTTCATTGCAGAAAATGTCTTCCTTATATCCAGCCTACATCTACTCTCTTTTAGTTTAGAATCATTAACCCTTGTCCTGTCGCAACAGGCCCTACTAAAAAGTCTCTCCCCATATTTCTTATAAGCCCCCTTTAAGTACTGAAGGGCTGCAATAAGGTCTCCCCAGGGCCTTCTCTTCTCCAGGCTGAACAACCCCAACTTTCTCAGCCTGTCCTCATAGCAGAGGTGCTCCAGCCCCCTGATCCAACAGGTCCACCTCCTTACTGTGCTGAGGACTCCAAAGCTAGACACAGTAGTCCAGGTGGGGTGTCACCAGAGAGGAGTAGATGGGCAGAATCACCTCCCTCGACCTGCTGGCCATGCTTCTTTTGATGCAGCCCAGGATGCAGCTGGCTTTCTGGTCTGCCAGCACACATTGCTCTTAAGTAGCAGCATATAGTTTGCATACAGATAGCCAAAGACTGCAGAGGACAAATTTAGCCCTGAGGCATATTCAGCAGTCAAGGGAGTTAATGTGGCTTTTATTTCATATATACATTGAACCATAAACATATAACACAGGGAATAAGAGCTCTCTCCATTGTTCATGATGTGCATGCAGAAGAGCACTACAGCGTGCCTGGTTTTGACTGCAGACCTGAGCAGCAACAAATGATGTCATTCCTAGCATCATCTCAGGCCTTGTTTAATGGAGAGTTTGTCAGTGACAAGCCACAAAGGAGCTGGGAGAAGCATGACTGCAGGTGACAGGACCATAGCCCCCAGCCTCAGCGTTTCTGCCCTCCTTTCTCTCATGTGGTGATCTATGAAGGCAAAGTGTGTTCTTGCTCTGGAAAATGTGGGATTTATGTTTGCCGTGCCTGAATGACTTAAAGCTCAGAAATGCTCATTGCCAAACACGACTGTTTTCTGAGAAGGGTAGGAAGGATTCAGAATCAATTGATCGCCCAGCGGTGCTCACCACCGCATCTATCTTCTCCTCACAGCCTTTTCCTGGACCCCCCCCGGGATCTGAGCTCTCTGTAACTGTGCTTTCTGCACACTCAAAAGCACCAACATCAACACCACCATATCTATGGCACAAAAGCATGCACAGGGACACAATGATGAAATAAAGCACTCTCTGTACAGTCATCACATTTAGAATAAAGGGAGGGATGGACACAAGGCAAACTAATGTGACATTTATGGGCTGGAAGTCTTTCAGGATGTGGCAGCAATTGAAGAAACTGCCCCAACAGGTTGGTGTTGGTTTGTGCTTGTGTTTTGCACAGCTTTCCTGTGTAATCCAATGGCTCTTACCATTTTCCTCTGCAGCATGTGTTACAGACGGTTACCAGACAGATGGCTGATCTGCTGCAACAAAGCAAGTTCTACATGTTTTTGAAGGAAGGAAAAATCTATGTGTTTTCTTCCTGCTCTGATCAGCTACCCTCACAGACTGTTGTCAGAGAGCAGAAAACAGAGGACCTACGCAGCTTCCCACCATGTGAAGACATAGGGTCACATCGTGCCCGCTGTGGGAGGGCTAACAGGACAGCTTGCAGCCTCAGTCATCCCTAGAGGAGCAGAGTATGGTACTGCTCAGAGGATGACCCTGGGCCACCTCAGCCTACAAGGACCAGCTGCTGAGAGGAAGAGACAAAATCTGTAAAGCAAGTGGTCTGGAAGAGAAGTGGTATCAGTTCACTTTGCTATACCCACTGCTCCCTCTGCTTGCACATTTATTCCAGGGGCACTCTCTTCTCTTTGGCATAACTTTGCAGTTTTCTGTTGCCCTTCAGAAACTATGAGCTGCTCTTGCTTCTGGTTCTGTTTATGAGGGAGGGATCCACTGAAAGCAGGAAAAATCTGGACAACAGCGAGGCTCTTCTTGAACCCACTGAAATACTACATCATTGTAAGAGAATACCTTTGAGGAAACTACCGCTCCGTATCTGCTATCTGGGGCTTCCTTTGGTTCCCGTTTTATCACAACAGGCATGAAGAGTCAGACTGTGTCTTATACAAGTCATAAAAGCTCCTGTGCACTTTGAGTGCCAAATCCTGTAGGCACCATTCCTCTTTTGGGAACTTACCAACAGCCGTGGTGAAACTCTGCATTCTGGATCTTTATTTACTTTGTGGTAGCCAATTTCAAATGCTCCAGAAGGAAGGTTGAGTTCTTACCATGGAGCATCCTATCTGGGTCTTTTTTTTTTTTTCTCTTGATAATGGGATTTAATGTAAAACTTGAATTATATTGCTAACAGAAGAGAAATTTTCTGAACTAGATCTTCAAGTTAAAAACAAAACTCTCTTACTAGGTCAAAGTACCCTCAAAAAGACAGCTCCAAATCAGATCACCTTCCATTGTGTCCCAGTGCTTTACTGTTAGGATCATTCTACATATTCTTCATCTATACTCACAGAACAGTTGGGCATGGCTTCATCAGCAGCTGTAGGAGCTAGTCTAGTATTTTGATATACTAGCTACCTCAGTATTTTGATTCTTGTCAGTTCAAAGACATGCATTGAGAATGAATGTCTGGAACACAGATTTATCTGCAGATGTACCAGCATGATATCCTCTCTGGGTCCTAAGGGTCCTGAAGAAGCACTACAAAGGTTTTTCTAGCTTCCTGGGAACAGCTTGTATTATTTGCTCACTCAGACACCTAAATTTATAGCTCAATATTTAGACTGATCACCTAAATTTATAGCTCAATATTTAGACTGATCACACATAGCGTGACACAACTAGGAATTATTACATCCTCATCCACCCATGTGAGGTTTTCCTTCAGAAGAAGCATCACACAGAGAATATCATTCCTCAGTGAAATAACCTAATTTTAATAGTTGCTCCTGTATATTAGAAATAGTCCTCATTGCATTTAACTGTGTATGGACCGAGCACGACTGCATACAATGGAGATGGTTGACCACAGAGAGGTGAAAAGGAGCCTGCAGTGCAGGGCTACCATGTGGTGAGGGAGGTCAGCAACACAGAAGTTGTATGATGTCTGTTTTAAGTCACGCTGCTCTTTCCCCTTGTGTGCACATAAGAAGAGGTGGAGCTCTGCCAAAGGAATACTGTTTCACCACTATAGCAAATACCAAAGAAAAAGGTAATGGCTCTAGCAATAAATCAGAAACACACAATGAAGAGAAGAACCCCCATTCTGTCAACCTCTGCAACAAAGCCACAGTAACAACCCTTGTTAAACCCAGAGCTGAACAATAGTAAAAAAGCACTTACCACCGTCCTGGTGTGAGAAACTCTGTGAAAGGAAAAAAATAAGACGTTGGGTTAAACCTTTTGTATTTTGGGTATAATTTGCATGACATGTTGATTTTTATTCTAGGCTTGCTTTTATGGTTCTTTGTAATTTTTAAATGGGTAACTGGGGATGTGGCTCCTCAGCTTTAGGCGCCATTAGAGCCGGAGGGAGAGGGACACGGTGTAACTAAAAGAACACTGCTGTTTGTTGGGGGATGTAGTGTTCAGAAGTAGTGTTTGTGGTTAATGCCACTATCTCTGGGTGCCACTGGGAGCAGGGAAGTTTGAGACACCTTTCAGGATCCTGCTGACATCTTCCAGTGGAGCCGAAAGCTCACATTGTTTCCCTGCAGATAAGCTAAGGACATAGTGCCTGAAATCACTCTTCCAAAAAAGCTGGAGTTGGAAGGGGAAATCCAAATAACCCGACCAAAATAGATCTGACACCTCTGTATCTTTTCTAGTCTTGGCCATCCGGGGTTGAGCAACATGCTCTGCAACTGCCCTCAGTTTTCCCATAAATGCATGAATTATAACTGCTGCTTTCATACAGTGCTAAGGGCCTGCCTTGGTTTCAATCCATACCCAAATGTCTTTTTTTTTTTTTTTAAATACCTTTTGCAAGTTGTCGAAGGATTTCTCTGTCTCCTTTAGTTTCTCCAAAATGATTTGTTCTTTGGCAGATATTTGGGATTCCTCACTTTCTAGTTTCTGTATTTCTTGTTCCAGCCTGCAGAAGACATACAAACATGCACATACACACAAAAATAAAACATGTAGAATTTTTTTACCATGAGCTATAGTTTCCTAGCGAATAATTAGCATTTCAAATGTCATCAGGAACAACTTTCACTCTTGTTGTTCACAAGTAGCGCATGAAGGGCATACGAACTATTTGTAAAACAGACAGATCTATTTAAAAGAAAACCAGTAATTCACTTACTATCCACTTCTGGAAAAGCATGTACAGATTATCTAAAAATATGCCTCATTATCCCTTCACCCCAATTCCTGTAACATCTCTCAGACATGAACTTTCATTTTAGAAATCACAGTACAGGATATAACCATAAATATGCAGTAATAGTTAGAGGAGTAGCTGTCTTCTAATGCTTCCGTACTCCAGACAATAAAACTGGAAACAGTTGTTGGAAGCTGGCAACCAACCAGTTGTGTTAGGAGTTTCTCTTGAACTAGGTTTTTCCCCACTCCTGACAATAACACTTTGGGGTATCCATCTGTGCTTTCTGCTGTTACTGCATGATACTGGGGATACCAGAGGCTTTAGGTAATAGGATACACAGGCTGCTCAGAAAATAAACTTATTTTCCTAGGCAGTAAGCATTCAGTACCCTTGTTTCTCTTGTTGAGACCTAACGGCCTTAAGATGCGTCAATTGTGATTTGGGATACACTTCTAATCAGAGTTAGATTCTCCATTACTTTAACTCAAACCTCCTTTCATTGACGTGATTTATGCAGGGGCAGGAATATTCCCTGTTTCTTTCTCCCTATTTTTATGTAGACCACCATCTTGATTTTCTCACTTTTGACCAAAAAAAAAAAAAAAAAATCCAAAAATTCTGTAATATGAGCTACAATGAGCACTTTTGAACAGGGATAGTTGCCTAAATGTTCCATTGTCTACAGGAAGGACTGTAGCTGCTGTCAGCTTGTTGGACCATATTTCTTTTAATGCATGAGATCAGCATCGCCCAGTAGTTTCGTTACCCTGCTTGCTCCTGCCTTTCTGCCACCACTTCTCAAGAGAAGGATGAGGGCACTGATTCAAGCTAAGGGGACAGACACATTTTTGCTCTTTCCCAGCCCTGCTCAGCACGGGACTTCATTAATGCTTGTTCTATCCCAAGGCAGAGGGCAAGGAGAAGGTGACAGTGAGTGAGCAGGCAGGGAGAAGGGAGGGATGGATCGCTCCTTTCAGGGGCTTGACAGCTTGTGAAATTCATGTGTCTAAATATAGATGCAAGGATCTAACTTCAGGCACACACCTGGGAAATTCTTCCCCACTTCCTAATTGTGCAAGGATGAAAGATGTGTGGCACTTGCTGATAAAGCTTTTCATTAGAGTGAGGGAGAAGTGTCACAGCCTCAAGTTGTTGCATATGGAAAAAAGGCAGATTTTTGTTCTCTTCAATTGTGTGAATACTTAATAGTCTCAAATTCGTGGCGGTTTGGCGAACCGCCATTTTTATCTCTTAAAGGCAACCCCCTTAGCTCCAAGTTGAAATGGCTTAATTTCAGTGATTTTAAAAGGAACTGTTGAGAAGGACTGTGCCAATCCACTTAATGTTTTATCCAAATTAATACAAAATTTTAAAAATGCAAAATATTTTCAAACAAAATACTTTGTTTTGCTGAAACGGAGCAATTTGATACAGAATGCATTTCCCCCCTTATGTTATGATTCAGGGAGACAGCTTTCAAAAAATACTGTTTCATCTTGACTTTTATTCCCAGGAATTGTTTTAAAGCACCTAGTGAAGTGAAAAAAAAACATTTTTCACTGGGGTCAGCCATTGCCATGCTCCTACTTAATGAATTTAGAAGTCAAAAGCAATGTGCCTTCTTTTCCTTCCCTACCTCTGCAAATGACTAGAAGACCCACAAACATTTATACCTTGCTGATGAACATATTTGAAATATTCTATTATGCTGTTTGGTGAAACTACATTGTGGAGCTGGGTGAGTTGTGGTTTACTGGTGTGTTTGTTTTCTTCCCAAGTGAATTACTAGGCAGAATTTTCAGGATACATATTCTGTAGCCTAATACATTTTGCTCTCTATGTGAGAAGGGAGAATGTCAGTGAATACAATTCAGCAACAACAAAATGCAGGGGAAGATAGAAGTCCATTTTATTTCAAATATTCTGCACATTAGTTAATAATTTATGACAATGAAAACTGTGAGCATATGTGGTGTAAAGCAACTCATTTGATGTTAGTAAGGTTATAAACAAGTAGAGTCCTTTAATTTGGGGTGATTCTAAGTGCACCACTTTTTTGTGCACCAGCCTAAAACTGTAGCAGCCTTGTTATTAATTGCTTGGTCTTCCAGAGTAAATTTGCTTCCAATGTATGCACACGTGTACTTGCACGTGCACACGCAGGAATTGATTTGATTTATATTTTCTTACTTTCTAGCTACTTGCTCTTTTGTTTTCACTTGTTTATGTCTCCTCTATCCTCCCCTCCTGGTTCATTTCCTCAGTTCCTGCTTCATTTGTGACAACCTACCCTCACCGATGCAACATTTGGTTACCCTATTTTGACAACATCTTGGTGGTTTTTTTTTTTTTTTTTTTTTCTTTTTTTTTCTTTTTTTTTTTGCCCTGAATCCTTTCTTCAGTTCCTCTCAGAAGTGGTACTAACAACTCACTAAAGAGGAAAGAGATGGAGACACAGCTGCCACGATTTAGAAACAGGGGTGAAGTTGGTAGGGACACAGATTTCCTACGTAACACTGAGTGAGAATACATACATACTCATCCCATAAGACAAGTCACCCTTTTCCCCCTGGAATCACCTCAGGTAGAATGAGAGTTTCCCATGCCCTGTGTAGAATGGATCTGAATTCCTAATTGTGTAAGGAAAAACATGGATCCTTCATCCAGAATGTACCTGTTACATAGCACAGGGGTCACATACCAAACATTAATAGCCACAGGAGGTTGCTTTATACCTTTTTTTGCTCAATTTTATACCACTCTTCTTGGTACTCGCTAGGCTTAAAGGCTGAGGTAATGCTGCTGAGGTACTGAGGCAACAGAAATACTCAAGGGCACAGTTTCCATGTGAGCTGTTGTATACATTCATCAGTAAACCACCTGGGCACCACTGACCTCACTGGAAAATTTGGACCTAGAGTCTTCACCACTTCCTTTGGGCTGCCTTTTTACATAGGGGCCAGTAATGTAGAAATTAAAATCACAATGCAAGCCAAAGGGGTTTTTGCACCCTTTTTTTTTTTTTAATTTTTTTTTTTTAGTGAGCTTTGTATCATCAGAATTGCTGAGTGATAAGGAGAACTGCCTGCTTTTTTTATAGTAACAAGATACAGCAGAGACATGCAAATTTGGCCTGAAAAACAAAATGGACTTGTATCACGTCTGTTTTGACCAACACTTATATAATGGTTTAAACAGTAATAAATCCATTCAAAGTGCACATGTGCACGTACGGACCTATACAAAGTGCTTACATTCTTCCTGTGTAAACTTGTTAAATATTCAATAATGTCCTTTTCTTCTTTCCCTGTTTAAAAAAGGATGTGCCTTAATTGTCATTTGACACCTGGCAAGGAAACCTTATAATTCCCCTGTTCCTGGCTTCTTAGCAGATTTCAGGCTGGAGTTTGAAAGACGGCTGCAGCAATACAGCCAGTTAAATAAACAACTACAATATCTGGAGTGCTGTAGGGAAAAAAATAAGAAAGAAAATGGAGAACCAAATGAGACCACTAATAATGCAGTTATCTGATCACAGGGGTTTGCTAAACTGTTTATATAAGGACAAAAAAACAGCTTGGGGAGTCTGGATTTGCTTTGGCACAGGCATGTTTTTTCAGTGGATGTACATGAAGCCCTATTTCCCTGAATATCAAAGAAACAAACCAAGGTGATTTCTCCACTCAGAAAGCCAAGCCTGCCTTGCTGCTAGTCTGTCTGTCCCACAACTTTCTTTAATGGCCGGCTGCCATAAGCACCTGAGAGTATAACAGCATTTTTGGGGAGGGGACTGAGAATAGCTGCCCATGTGAGCCAGGTGACCCCCCTGCTCATGGTAACAGGGCTGTCCCCCTGTGGAGGGGAAGAAACCCCAAACAGCAGAAGAGATGTCATCTCTCTTGGACAGCATTTTACTGTCATTTGGGGGGACCCTGATTCTCTGGTTAGTAAGATTACAAGGTTGTGGGATAATTCAGGCTGGAAGTGACCTTGGGAAGTCCTCTGAGCAGGGTCAGCTGTGAGATCTAACCAGGATGCTACCCGCTTCTTCCAGTTGGGGCTTGAAACTCCCCAATGATTGCGGGGGGGGGAAATATTTTAAGGCTACTCCCATGCTATCTGTTTTCCAGTCTGTAGCTGCAAAATTCAGACCAAAGCTGTCCAGTACTGCAGGGGAAGGGGATGCACCAGACTGGTAAAGGAAGTCTGGTCTGTGTGTTTGGTGGGATTTCTGCCCAACCAGGTGGGCACATGAATGCAGGCTGTGTGGTTTCTGAGAAGGCAGAAGGAGCAAATGAATCCTCCTGCAGAGATGCTGGGGTCAGGGACCAAAGGAGCTGCCAGGCAGCACAGAAGACTTTAATTTAGGTGGCGAAAAGGGGAGTTAAGAGGGAGATCTAAAAGGCGAAGAGGCAGAAGGGAGCTTTGGTACTGTGGTATGTGCATTTATGCTTAGCACTCAGTACCAAGCAGAAGTTATATTTCAGTATAAGGCTCTGGTTTGTGCTCCAGCCTGAAGGTGATGAATGCACTTTCTCTAGTTGAGGGGTTTTCTCTGTTTGCCATGCTGAGATGTGGAAACCCACAGACCTGGGATGCCGTTTTCCTCTCTGCTGAAAGGCAGAGGCTGTTCTGGCACAAGGTGCCTTTACCTCAACCCCAGGAGGGACCCCGAGCAGGATCCCGCAGGGCACTCACACAGCTGGTGCAGAGCCACACTGCTTTACAACAGGAGCACACAAATCCCAAGTAAGCAGAATTACGCC